TTTCTTTTTTTTTTTTTTTTTTGCAGTTTTTGGCCGGGACTGGGTTTGAACCTCCGGCACCTGGGGCCGGTGCCCTACTCCTTTGAGCCACAGGAGGTGCCCTTTCTTTTCTTTTTTGAGATAGAGTCTCTGCTCCCCTGGGTAGAGTGCTGTGACATCATCATAGTTCATGGTAACCTCAAACTCCTGGGCTCAAGTGATCCTCTTGCCTCAGCCTCCTGAGTGACTGGGACTATAGGCACCTGCCCCAACTTGTGACCCTGCCTCAGCCTCCCAAGTAGCTGGGACCACAGGCGCCCACCATAAGGCCTGGCCATTTTTTGGTTGCAGCCGTCATTGTTGTTTTGGCAGGCCAGGCTGGATTCGAACCTGCCACCTTAGGTGTATGTGTCTGGTGCCGAGCCTTGTATGCATTTAAATTATAACACATTTAAAAAAAATTATGGAAGAATGTACTTATGGGAATAATTAAGTCATAAGTACTAAATATAAATCTTTATTTCACAAATTTTGTTCTGTAAAAACTTTAGACTTAATTTTAATTATTTGGTTAGTAGTCTATTATAAATCCTAATTCTACCTTGATGATAGAAATACAATCTTGTTTATTTCATTTTTCTTTAGCTACCAACTTAGCTTCAAGAGGCTGTGCCAGTTATCAAGGGGTCTATGTAATGCCGTGACATGGGAGAATATAGTCCATATAAGTTGCCATTTAGATGTTTTCATCCTGCTCACATGGCCCTTTCAGGATGTCTAGAAGCTAACTTCAAAGACTAGATTTTTTTTTTTTCTTGGTATTTATCCTGCTCAGTGTCTCTAAGCTTCTTTGATCTTTGATTTCATGTCTTTCAATATTTTTAGAAAATTTTTAGCAGTTATCTTTAAATATTTGTTCTGTCCCATTTTCTCCCTTCTTGTACAATTTCAGTGGTACTTTTGTCATATTGGTTGTTGTTATCTAAATGGTTTTTGATACTCTGTTCTGTTTTTGTTTTTCAATTCTTTTTATCTCTTTGTTTCAATTTGAATAGTTTCCATTGCTGTAACTTTAGGTTTACTAATTCTTTTCTCAGCTATGTTAAGTCTACCTGTAAGTCCTAACAAGATATTTTTTGTCTCTGTTCTGTACTTCTTATTTCTAACATTTTCACTGGCATCTTATAAATTTTTTTTTTTTTTTTTTT